GAACTAATGTCAAATTCGCGTTTTTGTTAGATTTTTGGAAAAAGGTCATCTTAGCGTAAATTCTATTTTTTAAAAGGCGTCAAATGCCGTTTACAGATCGAAAATCGGACCATTGGTTCAGACATCGGTAAAGTAAAGTTTACTTATTTTGGTGCTGCCACGTGGTGGCTACAAATTGTACTAGTGTCGGGACATTTAGCCTTAATACGGAGAACTTGGATTAAGGGAAAACGTCCGCTCGTCTGTGAACAACACTAGCGGATAAACCGTTAGCAAAATTTTCAAGTAATACGAGCACGATAATTGAAATTCACAACTCACGTAGCAAGGAGTGATATTTAGTGCGACTATTTTACGGATTAACAAATGAGAAATTTTATTCAAAATTGCTGCCGGATTATGTGAGACTTTCATTCAGCTCCTAGTTATCACTCCATCTTGGACTACCATACATCCGTATATCCAAAGGAAAGGAAATAATCTTTAACAGTTTTAAGATAGAAAATGATTTTAACTGTGTTTCCATTTTATGGTCACTGAGGTCAACATTTTCAAAAAACAATTATTTCTTACTTGTCGTTTTTTTCATTTTAATATTGTATGGTAAATAATTTTATTGTGTACTATATAATTTCAACATTCAATTTCACAGCTTGATGATGTGGACAACAATCCCCGAAACCAACGCACGATTATGAAATAAATTAATGTTGAAAAAAATTCGTCTGACTAAAATCTGGACCGTAACCTTTCACATTTCTAACAAAAGTACTTAAAATAACATTTCTCTCTTCTCTCTGTCTCTTTTGCTGTTTTTCGGCATTGAGTCTCTAACAATATAGATTCAATTTGAGAGTTTGACACATTACCAAAACTACTAATTATATTATGACATTGATGCTTGCAAAGCTATAATGGACCTTATACAATTGCTATCTATAACAAAAACGGTAAAAAAGTGATTACAGCGAAATGCAAAATCGGTAATTATATGGCGATAGACATTGCGATTGGTTGAATTAGAATACATTACTTTTTATTAGAATTTATTTAGGAATGTATGGAACGGAAATTTATTTTTGATGCGGGTTCTGTGTATTGGATTTTGGCAGTCTTAGCGGGGTTAGGTTATGTATATTTGGGATGTTCCAAAAGAAGTGGGTGCATTCAAAAATAATGTGATTGATTATCGGTTCTAGTTGGATTCTTTTGGAGTTGAGCTTTGGAGATGTACCAAGGGGTATTCGTGATGGTGGGGAGGAATGATTTTGGATTACGTGAAGTTTTTTGAATTCGATTTGGCTGCGGTGATTCAAACTGGGCATACATATAACAGTAGTGCTCGTATGATAGTTTTATTTAGCGATAATGCAGTATTGTATGGTAGACATGAGTGAAATAGTTACCAAAGTTAATTTTCTCGATTCATCAGACTGATGTCGCTGCCCCTTGGATTTGAAGAGGATATTTTCATTTTTGGGAGGTACCTTACATAAAGTGACATGGTTTTCAAAAATTTTCTCAAAATGGTTTAAATTTAAAAAAATTCTTTGCATTGAGCAAAATACGCTCAAAGAAATTACGCAAGCCGCATTTCCGCCGAACTCTAAATTTTCGAAAATTGTGAAAGTTCTTTCCTTTTCGGCGTCTTCTCACAACTACAATATGGAAGATAGAAAATGTTTCCTTAATGAAAACGTTTTACGAAAACGAACCTAGAATAATAACATGTTCAGTTTTTCGAAATATGAGCACTTTTGCGAATTTTTTACGTGTAGTAGTAAATTTTAAACAATTATTTTTTTCAGAAACTATATCTATCCTATTCAAAATTTTTCTTTATTTTTTCTCGTATTTAGTAAAGAGCAGTAAAGAAATTGATGCCGGTCCCATTTTCAACAAATGCTGGGTATTTTTGAAAATAGCAAAACAATTACATTTGATAACTACAATATTGATGATAGAAATTTTCTTGTTAAATGAAACTTGTTCGTAAAAATAAGTTCATAAAAATGGTCATGTAATAGTTTTAATAATCTGAGTAGTTTAGCGTAATTTTTGCATCTTGAGAATTGTAAATTGGAATTTCCTACCCTTTGTTTGATTACCTGTCAGTAAAGAATACAATGGTGTTTCCGCAATATGGCAGTTTAAAATTCTTAGAATTCTTCTCATTGTTGATAGATATGCATGGAACGATAAGGGGGTTAATTTATTTTACTTTGTAGTGTTACAATATCTCTTTCTTCAAGAAAATAGTAATTCAATTACATCATAGCCTAGGTTATTATATATTCAAATGATACATAGGATGGACATTCCCTAGGACATCATAGTTACATATGTATGATTCGAGTATACTATTTCACACGCCTTACATTGTGAGGTGATGACAGAATTTTGAATTTCTGATGATGTATTTGATTTAAAAGAATTGATTTCGTACAAATGTTTCTATTAGTTTCCAAATACAATATTTAAATTATGAAAGCGATAGATTTATAACCTTATTTTTATGCATTCATTAGGCGATGGGTGGCCTTCGGTTTGGCTGCTTATTTTACTTCAAAAATTCAATATGATGAAAGCCAGCTCGGGTGAAATTATCTTTTCACGTCTCTATAAGGTGCTGCAAATACTGTATCTAAAATCTTTTGATTTATTCTCGGTTGTTTATTTTGTGAATTAAGGAATTACTCATCTTCTTCGCAGCCCTAAAAACTGCAGATATGCTCTACAGGCGCCTCGTTTAAATTGGGCTGGACTCTAGCAAGTGCGTGCCGAAGTATTAATAGGATAGACATTGCAATATTTGAATATTATGTAATCGTTTTCAGTAATACGAGAAAACGTGTGCTGTTGTAACACTTCTAGTGTCTTTTAAGTTAGGGTTTGTTTATTTTAGTAAGAAATTGAGTGAACAGGCGGGGTTTTGGGATCGGAAACCTCCAATAAGTGAATGTGAACATTTTTAGGGAGAAAGTGAGTAAGGCAGACCGGAGGTTTGTATGTGTTGGGGGGGGGGGGAGACGTGAATTATACCGAGACATTACAACAGGACAGGAGAGGCAGGGTGGTGTTTGGTTATAGGAGTAGGGCTGGATGGGTTAGGGCCGACGAAACGGGTCGGGGCAAGATGTGGAAAATTAGAATAGGACAAGGCGGAGAGCGCTAGAAGAAGGCAGGGCAGGAAAGGAATAGATTTTCCCTAGAAGATCGTGATAAATAAATGGCGCAGGAGGTTGCGGCAGCCTTCGTCTGCGCCGAGAAGGCTGAGGCTGCAGGATCGAATTCTGCGTAGTCCTGGCTATATTTGTGACTGTCCCATCATACCATTACTTCATAGCTCGTAACTCAGGGTTAACAATCATGTTTGAGCAATAGAAACAGTCGAAAAGGCTGAGTTTAAAGGCACATTAATCTCTCAGAGATAAAATATAACTGGGCCTCTGAAAATAACGTGTTGCGTGGTCCAAGATATTCCCATTATTATTATTATTATTATTATTATTATTATTATTATTATTATTATTATTATTATTATTATTGAGGTGAATTTGATGAAAACAATGCGATCCATCTTTAGCACACAGGTATTAACACACGTACCACATACTATTAAAGAAGCAAAATACAGATACGTTCAGGTATCCTTCTCAATACAGAAAACCAAAGCCAAATGTGCTTGCTTTCCATGTTCAAGAGCAGATGGATTTGATTTCAGGAAGGAGCAAGAACAATATTTATTGCTTCCGCAACGACGTAGCATGTCGCAATATCTTTGGCTAGGGCAACAGAGAAACTTCTCAGGCTATGGGTTGTAACGATATTCGTGCTGTGGTAGGGCTAGGTGAGAAAGGTGAAGGAAGAAGAGACCTACGGCGTCACTTCCCTCCTATTGCCTAGCACCTCTCATTAGTGGGTCCCCCCCTGATGGCGCTTTGAAGATCCAACCGTTATGGGGTTGCGAAGGTTACGTTCATACTCTCGGAAAGGACGCAAGAGGGGGATACGCTTGTTTAGGGTTGGGGATGGATGCAACGTAGACTAAAGAGCAAGTGGTAATGGCATCTGTGTGCTTTGCGGTGATAGAGAAGACTGGATCCACATTACTCTTAATTTGCTGTGCAACCGAAACATGGAGAAAAAAATGGATGGGAATGGCAAATTACTTAACTTTCTAAACAGGAACGTAACGCTCGCCCCAAAACATTTTAGGTGATAAAAGGTCTAAATTCTGGAGAATTAGGAACATTTTTAGGAAAGGTTCGGACCATTAGGGAAACTGAAATTAGGGAGTGGGAAAATAGCACGGTTAGCTTGACGGAGCCTAGACTGGAGAGAAATAAATAAGTCAATAAGCTAACAATATGTAAGTTAATCAGTAATTTTATGTTAAGTAAGTAAACAGTTAAGAAATAAGTCATAAGTCATAGTTAATTGGTAAGTAAAATGTTAATATAATAAATAAATAAAACTGTAATAGTAATAAGCACATCAGGGGGGGGAGGTAAGGGGGGATCGAAAAAAAAAATATAAGGGCAGAGGCGTTGGTGCGGACGATCTTCTGTGGCGCTGTTTGAATTTTAGGTGCTGAGGAGGCCAAGCACTGGAAGGAGACGGCGGGACGCCCAGCCAGAAATAAAATAGCTAAAATAACGTCGGATAGATTAGAATGTACTCGGCTTTCTGACGGCAGGTTTTTTCCCCCTTCAGGGGTTTTTTGCCTGAGCCGTACCTTATGGTCTCTTTCCGCGGCTTTGATGCGATGAGAGACCATTTGGGGTGAATACCAGATTCGAAAGATTAGAACGCGAAAGGATGTAGGTATTGTAATGGCTTAAAGGCCTTCGCCTAGCCATAGGATCAAGTTAACTAATTTTGTCTGTAATAATTACCTATTAAATAAATAAAATAAAATAAGATCCAAGCAGCCAAAGAATTGGGCGGACGGGAAAATGGGTAGCGTGCGTCGACGTTAGCTGAGAGGGGTTACTCGCCGATGAACTCCCGCGGCGACTGGCGTTTGCTGTAGTTGGCGCCCAACGTGTAGGCGGTGAAGGCGCTCTGCGCCGGCCGCCCCGCAGCGAGCAGCAGCAGCAGCACAGCCCACCACCACCTGCGCAGGCGAGGTCAATTTGTGAGTTTCTGCGCACGCTTTCTTCGGCTTTGAGGGCTGTTACTCAGCTAGGCATTTCCAGAATAGTACCGTCAAATAATAAATTCTTGGCTGTTCGGGTGACTCCGCGTCGTTGGCTGAGAGGCCGACGTTTCGCGTCCTCATGCGTTCCATGTCGCCATGCACCAAGAACGACCATCGAAGAGAAAGATACAAAAGGAACTTTGGGTGGTGGTATCTTGAACGTTTATACAATACTAATATTATCGGCCCGTTTCATAACTACCTTGTTTTGTGTAATCTCTTTCAATATTTTTTCCAACCCTTTCTGAGGAGATTTTACTTAAATTAATTATATTAAAAGCTGATCACTAGTTTGTGAGATGTATCCTGAAACATATGCATTTTGCGAAGAGCACTGTCTTATCAGAGAAACTGTTCCAAATTTTATTGCCTTTCTTGGGCATCTCATTTCAAGACGATCTCATTTTACACACGTTCTTGTTGTGAATTATAATCATATAGAACATTCTAGGGAGATCTCAAAACAGGTGAATTCTGGTTATACTCCCTCCTGAATAGAATGTTTGTAAAGTTATAAATAGACACCGGAAAAATATGTAGTATGAAACGTCAAAATATGTACCTAAATATGTAATGAAAACAGTAAGAATATGTAATAAATATGTAAAATCGGATGCAATACGTAATATTAAAATACTCTAATTTTAAAACACATTTACACAATACAAAATTACATTTATAAAACATTTCCATAAAAAATAAAAATAATACAAACGTTTTAAAAATAATTTGGACAGCCGACCAAACAACTTTCCTGTGAGTAGTAAAACCTTCATCTACGAATATTGTTATCCGAACCGCAGTTTAGCAACCTGACCAAGGTGCAAACGAAGCAAGGTTATGGACACCTTTAGACGGACTAGCCGCAATATAAGCCGCCGTAGAAACTGGCGATATCTACGACCAGCAAACCATCACTTCAGCGTGCGATATTCTCATCGAAGTGTTACATGTCGGCGATCGTCAACATTTCTCGGAAATTAAGGTTAAAGGACACGAAACGGCATCAATGATCCTTTTCACACCTAGATTTCACCAATAATGTAGGGGAAAATGCTGATTTTTTAAAAATATTTCTTTTTTTCAAATTGATTACACATTTTTATAAAAATTGTGAGAATGAAAATATTTTGTAAAAATAGCTAATTATGTAAAATAGTACTAAATATGTAACGAAAAAAATTGGATTTTCTGTTAAGAGTGACGATTCAAAAAGATTACAATTTGAATATTTTTGAGAACGGTAAGTTGTAAGACAAAAAATGTAATTACATCCGGACTCTAATCATCACTGTCCCCAACCAATGACATCGGTCTGCGTTATTTTTGATGCCTGAATTATTTTGTTTCTTTATGCGTTTTCACGCAGATTTCAAATCTACAATTGATTTTTGTGCATTAGCACCAGTTTTTTTCTCTACAAGCCAATATATGTTTTTGACATTTGTGTTCTTTATTAGATGTTAATTCTAATACAAAATATTAGTTTTTTAGGCAGATTGATATCATTACTTGAGTATTCATGTTAAAGTTTATTCGTATATACGATACATGTTAAAGATAACTAAATTTCATCAATTAACATGAATAGAAAATGTAAGAATGACCCAAATATGTTTTGCTATGTATGTAGTAAAGTGACGTTGCCAGGGCAAAGATCAAACATTACGATTACAGCATTTGTGAAGGCCAGCTATTATGCTTGTTTTGATATGAAATCAAGATATTAGGACAATGCCTTTGCTCCACAGCTATGGTGTCGGACATGTCTTAAGTAGGCTTAAAGATGGAACAAGAGAATCATATAGGCAATTACCCTTTGGTATACATATGGTGTGGAGGGAAGGAAAGATTCAGTTAACATATTGCTCCTTTTGCTTGACAATATTACAAGGTAAATAATGTCGAGAGACTTTATTTTATATTTCAAAGGTAGAGAGGTATCAATATCGCTGGGACATAAATATAAAGGCAGACTCTTGTTGGTGACTAAAAAGAGATCAAACCTGGAGCCGTACATAAACGAAAGTTTCTTAAGTAATCATTTCTATAAAATAAATTGTCGAACGTAAAAAAACTTCAAAACATGATAAAGGAAAAGGGAAATAGCTACATTTATTTCGGCCATTCACATTTACTATTACTCGCATACAGAAAGGAAGAAAGAGGGTAAAACATTGTCCCACAATATTTGTTTTTTAAATATAATTTTCTATTATCAAAGGTTGCGCTGAAACTGTGTTTGACGTGTTATTACGTGAATTAAACACTGATCTTGTGTTTAATTCACGTAATAGTTACCTTCATATGATCTGCTGTTGTCATGTTTATTATCAAGTTATTGACCCCGAACAGAAAATGTCCTAATAGTAATAACAGTATGCTTAGTAGTCACAGGATCCATAGCACAAAAACTATACCCCCCCCGCGATTCGGTTGTCCGGATTAAGAGAGGGTGAGAAAAAGTGGTGATAACTAAAGTGGACTTTGACACCATTTCATGTGCAACACGCCGAAATTAAAAGTCGTCTGGCTTAGACGAAAAATGCCACAGATCCAAAACTAAATAGGATCAATATTATCCACTTATCTTTACGGGCAAAATTTGAAATATTGTACCTAATTTAAACCCAAATTATGTACAGTGCCTTTGTGCACTCTGGGTGAAAATTTTATCACACCAAGGAGATAAGGGTTACAAGTTTGTAACTTACTTCATTGGACTAAATAGTTTCGGTCTTGCAAAATTGTTTGGGACATATGATCCTTGTTGATGTTTAATCCAAGTCCATAGAGGTTTATCCCCGAATCTGGCTTTTTCGCTAATGTTCAAATTTATCACGAAGCAGTCAGTGACTTGAGAAAGTAGGGTATTGTGTCGAAGCTGTGCGTAACCAAAGCATTCGACTCTTCTGCAGGCAGCGACTCGATGGGCCCTGCCCAGGAAAGGGATCCACAACGCCTTGATTAATTTGCTTAAGGACGTAGGTTGAGGTTTCCACCGTCATTCAGCAACCTTCGAAACGCTTTGAGATAGAGAATTCGTAGATGGGTTTAACAGGGGACCCCTTCTCTCCATTTCTTTTTAAACACATTTCGATGTGCCTAGGCCTGATCTCCCTGCGTCTCCTAACGAGAATTTTCATGCAGTTTCTTAGAATTTTCCAAATGAATCTTTTTTAGCTCCCTGTTTTAGTGAATCGAAGGCTATCATGTTCTGCTTAGGGTTGATATATTCTTCGATACTTTGCTTTCTTTTGCACATCCGTGTATATTAAATATCATGCACTGCATGTCTGCAACATTTCTTACAAGCAAGAAGTTAGAGAAGCCATGCACGGCTTCGTCACTCACGCGGACCGCATTAACGGTTCACAGGAATGAATCTTTGTGTGCGTGAGTTGCGGAGTAATGGACGTTTTAAACGGAGTGTTTTGACGGAGTTTATTGATTTACGTAAGCAGCGTAAATTGGAAGAGATTAGGTTGTGTCATTAGCTTAGTGCCGAGTGTACTTCGCGTGTAAAGTAACTAAACATAAAATGAATTGATAATTAATCAACTTAGCTGAAATTAAATAGTGCCGAGTGTACTTAGTCTGAAAAGTGACTTCGCGCAAAATGCTTTGGTAATAATGCGTTGGACATACTTAAGGATGGTTTAAGTTAGCGCGAGGGTCAGAGTCCTCAGCGTTGCCCTCAACTTCACGCGTGAAGGTGCGTCGCGGGACGCGTGAGTTTTTCTCGGAATCGCCAGCGCGCAAACAAGAGCCGTACTGCAAACTGCATTTCACTTAAGGCCCGTTCACAATGCAAACGTAAACATTAACGTAAGTGATAGACTGAAGTATTCACAATGTGTAACATAAACTTATGCAAAATAAGAGTTACTATTGGCTGGGAGACATTCTAGTTTACTATTAGTTAGATGTGAGAATCGATTTCAAGATATGGACTGTGCCCACGTCCCATATTGCGTTAGTTCGTCTATCGACTTCACTCCTATTTCGATTCTCGATTTTGAGTTACCGTACTGTGATTGATTTATTTCTTATGTCTTACTTAATCAGAAGCAAAGAAACTTGAAGCTTGCGAGCTTTTAAGTTAACGTCTTACGTGGTATGCTTATGCGAACGCATTGTGAATGAGTCCGCTTGTGGACGTAATCCTAACTTTTATGTTAACGCCATGTTTATGTTTGTTTGCATTGTGAATGGGCCTTTACACCGTGCTGCAAATATACCGAAGTTTGTAATTGATATTACTGATAAATACAAGATAATAAATATATCTAATGTACCCGTCGATTCCAAATTCAGTTATTGAAGAACATGACAAATTAAATGTCATAAGTAGGTCCGCAGTGCCATTTCTTCGTGCTGGCTTTGCAAAGTAGATAATTATGATTCTATTATTGATGAGAGGAAATAAATTAGATTTATATGTCTGTCGGCAATATTAAATATTTTCAAAGTAAAGAAGTACGACATATTGCAGGAAATTGTAAAAATGTGGATACCGCAATTATGTAATACTGAAGAAGTGCATCTAGAAACGGATGTCGTGAACAAACACGTAACACGTAAATTCTAATGACTCAAAATTTCCCTCATCTGAGTCAATGAAACCAATTAAAAGATCATTAACCGAGAGTGCCAATACATTGAGTGAAGCATCAAAGACATCTCTTTCAAATGATGCAATTGCAAGTGCGGAAAAATTAGCCATCGAGAAGGAAGAAGAGAAAGAACAGTGAAAATAATTAATGTTAACAAACCCATTGATGCACAATTATCCTCAATCAAAGAACTTTTTAAAAAAATAACTCAATTAATGTTTATGAGCAACAGAAAAGATTTTTAGAAAACACTTATGGTTCCAATAGCTCATTTCAAATATCACCAAACTACACTAGAGAAACGGAGATGTTGAGT